AACTCCAGACCTTGAGATCATGACCTGAGCTGAGACCAAGAGTCGGATGCTTAACTGACTAATCCACCTGGGTGCTCCGGGGTCTTATTTTAAATGAACTTAGAGCAAATATTTTTGCCTCGTTCTTCAGAATTCTGAAGATTAGAGGGTGTAAAGTTTTTACTGTGGAGAATCTCAAACTTTTGTCTAAAGTACAGAATAACAACATATCACAGCCTTATGTGCTCATCCACTCATCACTGAAATGCCTTAATTATCAAATCACACTCATTAGCTTCCCTTCATGTGTATCTCCCCTCCTCTCCTCTTCCCCAGAGGACTTTTTTACAAGCATGTCTTCCACAACACATCATCTATAGATGTTTCTGTATTTAGAAGACTGAAAACTTACGTAGTCAAATCACTGATCTTTTTTTTTTTCTTTTGTGGTTTCTGCCTTTGATATTATGCTCAAAATACATAAATTTTCATTTCTATTTTCCACTTGTCCTTTGGTGTCATTAAAAATATCCTTGAGGGGGCGCCTGGGTGGCTCAGTGGGTTAAAGCCTCTGCTTTCAGCTCAGGTCATGATCTCAGGGTCCTGGGATCGAGTCCCGCATTGGGCTCTCTGCTTGGCAGGGAGCCTGCTTCTTCCTCTCTCCTGCCTGCCTCTCTGCCTACTTGTGATCTCCCTCTGTCAAATAAATAAATAAAATCTTTAAAAAAATTCCTTGAGTTTTTTGATCCATCAGAATTGAATTTTATCTTTTTTTTTAATATTTAACCAATGATTAAAGAATTAGTATATCCCTACTGATCTATCAACTTAATCATATAGTAAATACTTATAAACAGCTAAGTCATTTTGTTTTCTCTCTGTGTGGTCTTATGCTGGTATTACTTTTCTTTTTTGGTGTTACTATTTTTTAAAGTATATCTTCAGTATTTGTTGTTATCAAGTCCCTGGAATAACACCACAGATTAATCATTCATGTACACTGTTTTAATGTGTAGCTATCCACAATTCTGAAAAACAAACAAACAAAAAAACACCCTTAAGATTAATGCCATGATATTATCACTTTTAAATTAGATTTGCAAGCTCCGCATATAAGAGGCCAGTCCCACTTTCTACTTTAAAAAGACTACTTGTTTAATGTCGTCTATGATACCTTTACATATTTTTAAAAAGGGATTAGAAATTAGGAGCACTGGAATTCCAACCAGTTGACACAGATGTTTCGAGCTCTCTGATGGGGCAGGACACAATGTTTGGTGCTGGCTATACAGGTGGAACCCCAAGGACTCAGCTCCTGTGTTGGGTAGTTGAGCTAGGCCCAGGAGTGTGATCTATTTCAGGGGCGCCGGGGACCCTGTTAGGGATCCAGGAGTAGGCTAAAGGTGGGACCAATATAAAGGCAGGTTTGAAGACACAGTCACCCAGGCAACAGACAGAACCAGGACAACACGTATCTGTGGATGGACGGTGTTTTCTTTCTTTGAATCTTATCTCTTGCAGTTTGCTTTCTGGGCAATTGTGGCTCGATGAGCTCTCCCCAGCTGGATTCCAGTGACCTCATTTACAACACTTTTGATAAGAGCCCTCAGGCTGAAAAGGGTTCTGGGAAAAGATATTTTGCCTCCAAAAGCTCTCCACAGAACGGCAAGCCCCTTCCCCTAATGAACACGGCATAGGTTCCCTGGAATAGCCTCAAAGTGTCATTTATGTTATTTTTTCCCCCAAATTATAAGCTTTTTTTTTTTTTTTTTTCCCACATTTCAGATGTGTTGGTTTAGTAGATATCTCCTCCAAATTCTCTCCCACATTTCGTCATACTTTAATATTTTTCTCTGGGACATAAGCGGGATCTAAGCGTAACTGCTCACTGTTGAACGACACAGTGCTCTTTGTCCTTACTGAGAAAGCAGGTGAGAGCAACGTAAGATCTTTTGCTTTTAGTTTCTGAAGCGGATTCCTAATCACTACATCAGGCGATGGGTAACAAAATATCCAACTACAACGACAAAGGGGTTTCTTTTTCTCACCTAACAAGGAGTCCAGACAAAGGCAGCCTGGGCCGCTGTTCAGCATTGCCGGGAAGCCTCAGAGTCTCACCTCCTGTCCACCATCTTCAGCTACGAAATTTGCTCTCATGGTTGCAAGATGGCTGCTGTGGCTCCAATAATTCCTGCAAGCCGAGGGGGCAAGCATTCCAGATGAGTCTGGCTCTGTTCAGTCCTTCCCCCACAAAGTTCTCCACTTAGAGATTATTGGCCGGAACCTGGGCCATTCTCACAGCGGGGGAGGGGGAAGACTGTGTCTCTGAACTGGGAGCATTGTCACCCAGAACAGAACTGTGAGTTAGCCAGATTGGGGTGGGGGTGGGGAGGGATGCCAGAGCTCCTTATCCAGAGGAGAGGCACATGCTAGAAACACACTGTGGTGGGTGTTGGCTACAGATTGCTCTTATCTTCCTCAAAGCCTGTACTCTGACAGTAGTAACACACAAGCCAGAAGACATGGCTTGTCTCTTGGTGCACTCATCATATCACCCATTCATTCTTTAATTTATCGAGATAATTAATATTTACAGAGCATTTTCTCTCTGCCAGGCATAGGATGGGAGACGGGGAGCAGTGGCGACCACAATAAGCACGATCCTTGCCTTCACAGGGCATCCACTCCTAAATTAAAAGTAAAACAGGCAATATATTTTAGATTTCTTCTATTGTCCATTTGAACAACCAGATTCACTTTTTAAGTATGAGTATCCTTTGCTTATGACCAATAAAAAATGATCATTCTCCCCTACATGGTTGACACAGTTTTACTTTTATAAACTGAGTTAGATCTTGAGCGACTCGACAAAAGGTGGATTAAAACAGAAGAAAAGTTCAGGAAAACTTGGGCGTGAAAAGGGCCAATTAAATAACAAACCCACACATTCAGCAACCGGGAATATTGTTCAGGTGACCAGTCCTGGCTGCTTTAGGAGGATGCATTCTTGAAGCTTCTTGAGGGCAGGGGGCTGGGTCTTGGCTCCCTTTGGGTTCCCCAGACCAGCTCTCCTTAGCTTTTATGGGGAGTTGATTTTTTTTTCTTTAAAGGCATGTGAAACTGTTCTGAACCTTCTCCCAAGGCTCTAATTAGATTGTAAGGTACTCGAGAGAAGGGATTGTTTTACTCATCTTTGTAACTGTTGCACAAAAAATCTTGGGTGTTGTGAACACAAAAAATATTACATACATATACACGAGAATTGAATACAAGAAACTAAGTACATACCTAAGGAAAGTACACAGAAGCTTACTGAGTGATAAACCTTTTTAAAGAAGGGAACCCAATCTTGTGAAGCTAAAATTCTGGTTTTAGGTACAACGTCACCAAGGGTGAGTCGCTTTAAAATACACTCAGAGATACTTTGTCTGCAAGATTTACCAACCAGGTTTCCTCTAAGTTTTTGGATCATTCCAAAATGACCGAGATTGTTTCCGTGAAGAAATGGTCTCTTAAAGCCGGGTCCTGAAGGTTATTGGGATCTGAAGAGCAAATTCGTCTAGATGAGGGAGCTCAGAAACACTCCTCCTTCAAAAGCCATAGCAAAAGTTAACATTCTCAGGACGTCTGTTAGTTAGAACAAGCGGCCCAGCCTGGCAATGCTGCCAGCTGCCTTGTCTGTCACCGGGAAGGGGATCTCCTGTCAATTCCTCAAAGGGAGTTTGGCTGCCAAATCAGGAGGCAAAAAGGAAATATGGAAATCTCGGGGACATGGGCACCGGAATATGCTCGGTTTCAGACACTGGGAGTTATACTTGAAAAAAAAAAAGTCACTTAAAGGTGAATGCCAGGATTACAGTGGATTTACGTCATTATAACAAATATTTCATGATGCAGATTACTTAAAAGTCTTGGACCCAAGACAAGGCTAGAGAAACTAGCCCTGTGCTGGACACTAGACAGTGCGCAGCGCGCGGGACCAGAGAGGACAACCTCGCACCGTACACTGGGAGGAGCGACCCTGTCTACTCCTGAAGACACAGGGACGCCCTAAAGGCCCAATCACGCCCTGAGGAAGGTAACAGGATTGCTCCGTGTGCAGAAACGGCCTCCTGTAACGGGGACCCCCGCGCGGACTGTTCTGTTCCTCCAGCAGCGGTGCCCGACGGTGCTGAGACGTGAGGAAGGGCGGGTTCAGAAAGCGCAGACCCCCAAAGCGAGGATTTGGGTGTGTGTCCACGCTCCTCCACGCATTAATGTGATCTTCCGTCGGTCCCCAAGAACCCCCATCCGCGACCGAACTTGGATTGGAGAAGGGAGAGAGGAGCGTTGCGGGAGGATGCGCTCGGCCCTTGCAACGTCCCTTCCGGGGATCGGCCCAGCTGCCCCCATACAGACCCCGAAGGAGGCAGGGGCGTCCCGGGGACATGCGGCTCCTCTGGGGCCTTGTGCGTCCCGGGGACGGGCGCGGGCTCCCCTGGCCAAGCAGGTGCCCGCGTCCCCTCCACGCTCCCTCGTGGGGTCGGCCCAGCTGCGGGTGTGCAGACCAGGGAGCAGGGGCGTCCCGGGGACACGCGGCTCCTCTGGGGCCTTGTGCGTCCCGGGGACGGGCGCG